AGGAGGATGGACAAGTCTGCTTCAATGACCAAAATCCAAGGAAATTTTGTATTTGAAGTTCAAATTCAGTATCTCATCGTGTTTCCAAGGCAGAGAGAAGAAGAAGACATAATTAGTAAAAGGGCTCTCTGCAAGGTGAAGGGAGTAAAAGAATTTTTACATTAAGAAATAATATCTAATCTTTGCATTAACTATAACATGAAAGAAATTATTCCACCACTAACAACTGCATGCACTATCAAAGCCCAAAGTTTCCAATCCCACCTATGCATCATTTGGGCAAAAGTAAATATACCCAATACAAATACATATAGCATGAATATACCTGGACGTAGAAGAACATTGGACGGTTCGGCATTGGCCAAGGAAAGTCGATGCCAGGTGATTGTCTTTCATTAATGGTCACTCCATTTTGAAGGGTGCCTTCATAAAAGCTGTTAGATGGAAACTCTGAAAGAGCAGGATGCATCCGATATTGAACCTAACATGAAAAATAAACAAAATGGATAAAGTTCCAACTCTCAATAACATGAGGTAATATGTTAACATAACAAAAGGAATAGGCTAACCACCATAAATGCTAGACAGGCAAACACAAGGATGAGGATAAATATGGTCATTTTTTCATTTTGGCCCGGTGGGGAGTTAGTTATGTGGTAGCAGATTTCTTAAGTTTGGGGCAAATTTACTCTAGATAATGTTTTATATAGCAGAGAGTTAGATATATGCTTCCCTCAAAAGCACACGAAAGCACGTAGCAGATTTCTTAAGTTAGGGGCGAACTGACTCTAGATAATCAACATTTAATAGAGCAAAGAGTTAGATATATGCTTCCCTCAAAAGCACACTCAAGCAAATATCAAGATTACAGATACCTGTAATCTAATTGGTTTCACACCAAGTAACACAAGCCTTTCGAACAGCGACTGAGCTAGACCGGCCCTTGCTGCTTTCTTGCACATGATGACAGGACCAAGCTGGCAGTGATCACCAACAAGAACAGCCTAACAAAGAACAAGTTACTAGAATCGAAAATATGCAATTAGGAATCAACTTCAACAATTACCTGTTTTGCCCCAAGAACCAAAGGAGTAAGACACTCGGGCCCTGTTGCCTGTGTAGACTCATCAATAAGCACCTATAAACAAATTGAAAAGCACAAGATAAGGATCAATAATGTATACATTCACTGGAATAACCTTCTCCCCCAGTCTATTTTTGCGCATTCACCTGGCGGAACCTAAAATTTGCCAAACGAGGATCTCCAGCACCAACACACGTGCAACAAATGACATCCGCACTCTGTGATATCTCCCTCTCTGTTGCTCGCTTAAGAGCTTTGTACTTTTTCTCATCACTGCTGGATAGCTCTCCTGTAAAAATTACAGGGTCAAGAAAAATGCTTCATGCATAAAGATTCAATATACTCATTCGTCATCTGATTAAGACTGTATTTGTGAATT